GTAATTTCACATTTGTCCCAAATAAATTGTTGACCTCGAAACATATTTTCATATTAGTCCATCAACATCTCAAAAGTATTAAAAAGTGCTCGTATCATAATCATCTAGTGATTTTTTGGATTACTAAATAATCTTGGCTTGCCACGTTCTCATACAAAAATATATTTATCACAATTTACATTCTAGTCATTTAACAAATTTTATTTTTTTGGCCCATTCCGAGTTTAAGTTCATAAAACCCACTATTTTCGTTACCAGCATGATCCCAACATGCTAAAGATTTAAAATCATGATTCTTAAACTTTCTGTAAGTTAACTTGAATCCTCAAACATACTTAAATTGCTAAAATGCAACTTACTCGAGTTTACCCAAATAATAATTCTTCGATATTACTATTTGTTGGGCGTGGAAGCTCCAATAACACTCGTTCATTCCAAATCAGATTGTAAAAACAAGATTAAAATGATAATATCGAAGTAAGCAAGATCACACTATAAAAACACAAGATTTAATTTGTAAACAAATAGCACAAAAGGTAAATGTAGAGGAACGTTATTTATTAATTCAACGTATGGAAAATACAAGATAGACTAGTAATACTGCTTCTATGTTACTCTCTAATAAAGCTGACAGAGGAGCCTTATATTTATAGGCCAATCTTAGAAGAGTCCTAAAATGTATAAAAATATATTACAATTAGGATACCCAATTTGAATAGGATTTTGTCTCCTTTTGTTGGATGCAATTAGATTCCATTTTTAAGTAAAAGTGTAAAACGCATCTTCAAAAGACTTCTAACCAATTTCTAGGATTCCACTCTATCAAATTCTAAATCAACAATAATCCTAACACATTTGAGTCACCAAACCTAATAATCTCCACCTTGATTCAAATTTCGGTGCTACAAACGAAACTCCTAGTTTTCAAATCTATCTGCATCGAAATTAATTGGTCGAATCTCCTCAACACAGTAACTACTCCTTATAAACCAAAAACTTGTCCTCTGCCCTGGCATCCACAACCAACACCCGAACCTAAACCCAGGGTTTCCAATTTCACCAAGGAATTAGTGTTGATCACATAGAGACGAGGCATACCCTATAGCAAGAACCAAACCAGATGCTTAATCAGAAGGCCCTTTGCTGGAACTATCACCTTCAACATCCCCAGTGGCATCCCAGACATAGCTGACACTACGATACCTACACTTGATGAGTCCTCTCCCAGCAACTTAACACAGTGTATCCGCTGAAATTGATGGCAAAGAGGGATCACCAACGCTCTCTCTAGCAGTGTTTTGAACCGACTCAGAGCCCAACCCAAGAGATACTGTACCAAACTGAACTTCTACCACGGCAATAAACTTGTCCAAATGTCTCCTAACAGGTTTTGCATTCCCCTAAAAAATGTACGACTGGGATATTTTTTGTCCCTCCAATACAACCCGAACTCTCTTTCGGACCTTCAAGACTTTACCTCCTCCAGAGAATTTATACTCTTTTGCATTCAGGGTACTTTGTGAAATGACATTCATTTTCAAGTCAGGAACATGTCAAACCTAATCAATTGTTCTAAATGTTCCATCTCACAGCCTCAATCTGACTCCACCAATCCCAACAATATAGCAAGGTTGGTTGTTTCCCATTACAACTCCACCTTGTTGAATCGCATCATATGTCTGAAATAAATTCCTATTGAAACACATATGGTACGAACATGCTAAATCAAAAATCCATTACTCGTCAGGCCTAGATTCCACATCAGATACCACGGCCAACATCACCTCTACGCCATCTAAATAATTCTCAACTACATTGGTTTCGTCTGAATTCAAAGGTTGCGCTCCACGATTTGCAGGTAAATCACCTCTAGCCTGCAACATATCGCAATCTTTCCGAATATGTCCCTTTCGTTTGCAGTAGTAACAATACACATTGCTAAAGTTGACTTTCGATCTGCCTTTCCATCGACCACCTTGAGATACAAGAGCTTCTCCATTCCTTGATATAGCTCCAATCAAATGCTTTATCTTTTTCTTTGAGTACAAAGTATCATAGACATCGTCTATAGTCAAAGTATCTCGGCTATACAAGATGGATGCCCAAAACAACGCATAAGAACCAGACAACGAACACAATAAAATTAAGGTAAGATCCTCTTCATCGTATTTCACCTCCAACGTTTTCAAATCTGCAACTATTTCCTTGAAAATGGCAACATGGTCTTCCAATGACCTTCCTTCCGCCATGCGATGTGAATACAGCTTTTGCTTAAGAGCTAGTTTACTTGTAAGACTCTTACTCATACACAACTGCTCCAACATCAACCACAAAGTAGCAATCGTTTTCCCTGTCAAGACATCTTGCAAAATGTTGTTGGACAGATGAAGATGAATTAATGACGTAGCTTTTCGATCCTTCCTTTGTTTGTCCTCCATTATTCATCCAACTGGCATCCTCTCAAAACCCAGAAACATATCTTCCAAATCCAACTGCGCCGAACAACCCTTATCTTTACTTGGTACAAAGAAAATCTTGTATTGCAATCTAGTTGTGGAATATCATACTTCAACCCGACCATCCCCAAAAAATCTCAACCAATCTACGAAAGGAACCAAGCTCTGATACCACTTGTTGGGTGCGAAAACTCCAATAACACTCATTGATTCCAAATCGGATTGTAAAAACGAAATTATAATGACAATATCGAAGTAAACAAGATCACACGATGAAAGCATAAGATTTAATTTGTAAAGAAAGAACACAAAAGGTAAACGCAGAGAAACGATGTTTATTAATTCAACGGTATGGAGAATACAAGACAAACTAGCAATACTGCTTCTATGTTACTCTCTAATAAAACTGACAGAGGAGCTTTGTATTTATAGGCCAACCCTAGAAGAGTCCTAAAAAGTAAGAAAATATATTACAATTTGGAGATCCAATTTCAACAGGATTTTGTCTCCTTTTGTTGGATGTAATTAAATTATCTTTCCAAGTAGAAGTCTAACACGCTTCTTCAAAAGGCTCCTAACCAATTTCTAGGATTCCACTTGATCAAATTTTAAATCAACAATAATCCTAACACATTTGAGTCACCAAACCTAACACTATTTACACTGTGATAATATTTCCCCGCCAATAAGATAATTTTACTAATTTTCGTTCAGTTAACTAAACTTTCTTAAATTGTGTTAATAGACCCAAAAGCTTCTGAAATTGTCCTATATGCTAAGTATAAAAGTCTATAAGATTTTGAGGTTTTATAACTGCTGCCTATTTATATGTGCGTATATTTTCTCCATCAATTAACGTGTTGAGTTACTGAAAGTTATCATCTGACAAATTAAAAAAAAAAAAAAAACCTAGAGTTTAAATACGGACTTTTCCTCTTAAAAGTTGGGGTCTTGATTTCTTTTTAGAAGTTAGTGTTGTTGACTTTGGAAATCTTGAACAAGTAGGTGTCGTTCTATTAGAGTGAATTACCCAAATAGTCATTGAACTCTGCAAAAGATTTTCACGAGGTCATTGAATTTTGAAAATCACTCAATTCATTACTGAATTTTACAAAAATGTTTCTATGGGGTCACTGAATTTTAAAAATCACCCCATTCATCACTTAACTTTGCAAAAGGTTTCGAAGAGATCAATGAACTTTTCATTTAGTGACCCATGGAAAATCTTTTGCAAAGTTCAGTAATCTCGTGGGAACCTTTTGCAAAATTCAATGATAAATTGGATGATTTTTAAAGTTTAGTGACTCTATGAAAAACTTTTACAAAGTTCAGTGACCATTTGGGTAATTCACTCCGGTCTATTAAAAATACTTATAGCACAATTTCTTGTCTGTGTTAAGCATTGAAAATTGAGCCATACACCAAAACTTACGAGTCCGTCAAACAGTTATATGTTGTTGTGTAAAAATATAAAACCAAGAAACCATTTCTCTCATTTTTAAGGAAAAGGTGGGTATTTAATTGGGAAAAAAAATTGAAGACCTGAGAAAATATAAATTATATATTTATAATTACATTGAGCCTCTTTTTGGTTGAAATTAAAATAAGAATTTTAATAGATTTTGATAAAAGTTGATAAAAATTATGGTTGAAAAGTTGTAGAACCCATGAAATATATGATTGAAATTCATTATTAACTTAGTCTTACATTAATATTTAAAATTTTAATTGTTACAAATTAGGTGTTGAGTATAATTCACTCTAACAATCGTTTAGAAAAGAGAAGTTGTCAAATTATAAGTCTACAAGTAAAGTCTTTAATTTAATCATTTGAAGAGATCTCCCTCAACAGCACATATTTTAAGTTTCATAATATCATGGAATTAGTCTTTTACTAAAAATATCTCATATTAGATTTATTATTACGTTGTTAAACCACTCTATCAAAATGCATAAACTACTTGAAATGGAACAAATTTCTTAAGTATAGGTTGGATAAATGCGGATGTGTGCACAACTTTTTAAAAATGAATAGTGATAATATTTAAACTCTAGTTTTTTGTTGATTTTTGTACAAAGTCGAATTATCTCATCTAAAAATTTAAGTTATTAAAAAGGAGACAATTTATTTTTTATTTTTATTTTAAAGTGGTTCTTGATCAACAACAATGTCATCTAAAAGAATGTCTGCTCTAATATAAATTCTTACGAACATAGTTAACATAAATAAACATTAAAATCGTCTCACGAAGGATTGGTGCTCAAATAGTTATATACCCACAAAACCAATTTTGATATGAAATTAAAACTGTTAAATTAGTCGTGGAAAATTTCCATGCCTTGGTTTATGTTGATTTGCATGGTCTTTGACAAGTATTGTAGCTTATAAAAGTTCTTACTTTTTCAAAGCAGAATTTGTCCCACTACATAGGAAAGTTCTTTCCCTGAGAACTATAAATATATCTCCTATGTATACAACTTTTTGAACATAGAAAATATTACGAGTGTTCTAATTTTCTCTAAGTAATTTCTAATTCATTTTTATATATTATGGTGAGGCGTTCATCATCAATTAAGATTCAACCCCCAACTTATGGAAATCTTATTACAATTCTGAGCATTGATGGAGGTGGTATTAGAGGAATTATTCCTGGAATTATTCTTGAGTTTCTTGAATCTCAACTTCAGGTACTTAATATTTTCATTTTGATTTCCCATTCCCCTCTTGTAAAGATGGAGTACATGTTATCTCCATATTATATTTCCATTTTATTAATCTATAGGAAGGATTATGGGCAAAATCCCCACCTAGTCCCAGGTGGTATTTAACTAATAATAAAAATTTCAATTTGAAGAATCAGATATCTTTTAATATTAATATTTCCTTCTCACAAAAGAAGAAACTCTCTTTGTCAAATACTGATAGATATATTGATGTATCACTTGACCAAATTGGTACCAAAAATGCATTTTTTTTCCCTTGCTAGGAGATTGATGGGGAAGATGCAAGACTTGCAGATTACTTTGATGTAATTGCAGGAACAAGCACAGGAGGTCTATTAACAGCCATGTTAACTGCTCCAGATGAAACTAATCGTCTACTATTTGCAGCTAAAGATGTTAAACCGTTTTATCTTGAAAATTCCCCTAAAATTTTTCCTCAAAAGCGGTATAAGTTAACTTTACAACTATGAAATGCATTTACATTTCTTGTACACACCTTCTTGTTTTATTGATGAACATTTTTTGCATTGGTTTCAATTGCAGCGGCTTATTTGGCTGGGTTGGACGACTATTGACATTTTTATTTGGACCCAAGTACGGCGGAGAATACCTTCACAAAATTATAAGGGAGTTACTAGGAAAGACTCGATTGCATGATACCTTGACTAATGTAGTAATTCCAACCTTTGATATCAAAAATATGCATCCAAGAGTTTTCTCCACATATCAGGTTTACATTTTCTTCATTATTTATTTTCCCCAAAACCAATAAATTTATATTTTTACTAGAGAAAAGTGCAACATTATTTTTCTTTTGTTAATTTCTGATATATCTGTGTGCATGTGCATGTGGATGCGTATTCGTATGTGTACGTGTTGGGAAACTTTAAAGTAATTGAGATAGAAATAATGTGAAGTGTTAACTTTTTAATTTACAAACTAGAGTATGAGCTTATTTAAAGCGATAAATTACTGTAAAACGATAAATACACACTATAGAGGTGAACACCAAACTAATCCCAAGGGGACAAATAAGAACTTGAAAAAAAAAAAAATGACAGTATTACTCTCATTACACAAGTATTTAAAAATGATACTATAGAGAAAAAGATCGTTGTATTTTTCTGAGCCTCCATTTGGTAAATTTATAAATGGTTTATAAAAAGGAATAGAAGACAAAAGGGGCCAGTTTCTGGACTTTGTAAAGCCAGATTCACTGTTATTGTTATGTTCCGAGTAATCACTAAACCAGCAACTAATCAGTTCAAAGCATTAGTCAATCTTATATAGTAGCAGCAAAATTACATAATTATTTCAAGTAATTCTGCTTACAAAGAGTCAATAAGGATAGACAAACTAGATCAACGTAGGTATTATCAAGTCATAAGGAACTAGAACAAATACATATTCTACGTCTCTACTGTATGAATAAAACTTGTTTGATTCTTATATTCTTAATAATATTAAAAAATTTAGTCGAATGCTATGACTCGACTTGTATCCCACAACCCTTTATTTGTTAGCATATGATAGTGTGGTAGGTCAAATAATCAAATAATCTTTGTGATAAATACTTCAAAGAAATATTAATTTCAATCAGTATCTTTATTCATATAAAATAGAGCTAATTTTTTAAAATTATGCTCTAAGAAATTCTTTAAATTAATATTTTAATTTATAGAGTGAGTTTGACTCTCCCACTCTTTATAATTAAATATAGTCAAAGTATTTCATTTTTCAATAGAGAAAAATAATATTATAATTTTATGGGAAGTTGGTGAAATAAAAGATGGGGAAAAACAATTAATATTTTTTGGGGGTAATAAAATTAATTGCATTTATAAAGAGCCTGCATGAGTACTTCAAAATTTTTAAATTTTAGAATAGTGTATTTAAAAATAGAGAGTCTCTTCGATATGCTCATTTAAATGTAATTCTTATATTCATGCATACATTTAAATGTACCTTCTTGGACTTTGCTGTGACAAACCTTGTCAGTATGCTCAGCAACAATCTTTCTAGGATTTCACAAGATTTATTGAACAGTAGACTGCTTAAAATTTGACTACAAAACCATTGTGCTGTCTGATTGTAATACGATTAAATATTGTTTGTGCCTTTTTTATTCCCGCAGAAAACTTGAAAATATTTTTAAATTATTATATTAATCAATCATAGGACCAAAAAAATGGAGATAACCTGAGATTTAACGTAATTAAGTGCATATACAGGCTATAGAGACACCGTCATTGGATGCTGGACTATCAGATATATGCATTGGCACATCTGCAGCTCCAACTTATCTTCCTGCGTATTATTTCAAGAACCAGTATAAACAAAGTGATGTTCGGGAATTCAACCTCATAGACGGTGGTGTTGCTGCCAATAATCCGGTAATCTAATCATCATATATATAGTTCTTAAAGATTTGTAAAATCATGCATTTTGATAGCTGGTGAATAAACCCCAGTTTGACTGTCACTTTTTGTGTAGAATGAGTTTTTTAATAGTAAAATTTTAGAGAATGTGTGGGTAAAATGAAGGAAAAAGTTTTGTGTTTACGTAAAGAATCAATGGGTGCCCCAACCGTTGCTTGGCATGGGGTAGCATAAGTCGTTTCCAGTGAAGAGGTGAGCAGTTTTTGAGAATCTGCCATCTCGACGATTATTTTATTGTGAGAATGTGTGGTTAAAATAAATATGAGGAAAAAAGAGTTTTAGAAGAATGATTGTCAAACAGGGACTAAATAAACCCGTTTGTGCCAGATTTTTGTAACTTTCAATAACGAGACAAGAAAATTTGTTAAGAACTTATAGTTTCGCAAACTCTACATTATTGCAGGCATTAGTAGCCATGAGCGAAATTACCAAACAAATTTTTGATGGACATCCAGACTTCTTCCCAATTAAGCCTACTGATTATGGAAGATTTTTAGTAATCTCAGTAGGCACTGGCACGTCGAAGGTAGAAAATAAATATAATGCTAAAAAGGCAGCCAAATGGGGTCTTTTAGGATGGTTGCTGAATGGAGGTTCCAATCCAATATTGGATGTTTTCACTCAAGCCAGTGCTGACATGGTGGATTTACATATTTCGGCAGTTTTTCAAGCACTCCATTCTGAAGAAAATTACCTTAGAATTCAAGTAAGCTCATGAAAAAATATAAGCTATTAGAAACTTTACCCCTTATAAATTTATATATTTTTTACATTTTTAAATATATGAACTTACATACAATTTATTTATCTGGATGCAAGGACGACACTTTGACGGGAATAACTTCCTCCGTCGATGGAGCAACGAAGGAGAACTTGAACAAACTAGTCGAAGTTGGGCAAAGCTTATTGAAGAAAGCAGTTTCGAGGGTTAATTTGTATTCAGGTCTATTCGAGCCAATCAAAAAGGGTGGAACAAATGAGGATGCTTTGAAAAAGTATAAACATACACACACATAATTATATATTCAAGCATTTGTGTTTTTTATATTGACAATACGTATCAATCCATATTAACAATTGAGATATTGCTATATCTTGTAGGTTCGCGAAATTACTTTCAGAAGAAAGAAGGCTTCGGGAATTTAAATCACCTTTCAAGAAGAAATGCTCTAAATAGCTGAATTATTTTATCATCCTTTAGGCATTTATTAATAATTACTTAGTTCAAATAAAATTAGTTCCATCTTCAATGTATGTATTTTGTAAAACCTCTGATGAGATATATTTTATTTATTTTTTATTTCTTAGAAAGTGTGTCTTGATATCATGTAATAAATACATCATTATATTTGTAGTATGAGAAAATTGCAATAAATGTCCACTTTCACATGATCATTTGCAAAAATGCCCAAAAAAAATTCTGTGTCCATTATAAAATAATTTAGACGAAAATACCCTTGTTAATAATTTCTAATTCTACATTAATCACAAAATTTTTATACAATTAAGTGTTAACCAATGACATTTTGATAGATACTATGCTACTTATTTATGTCAATTCACATTAAATACTAACTTTACCCTTGAAACCCGACCCGATCCATGTGATTAAAAAAGCATAGCACTCTCCCACACTCACTCACTTTTCTTTTGTAGCCCTAAAAGTTTCTTTCATTCGTCATAGCCCACTGCTACTCCAACTGTTAGATTTTCCATTGCCAATTGTCGATCGCCACTTTATTGCCTTAGTTGCCTCTTCTTCTCTCTCTATCAGATTTTTACTTATTTGTCTTTAAAGTTATTTTTTTTGGTTGAGTTACTGTACATGATTTCTTTCTCTCTAGATTGTCTTGGGCATCAAGTGAAAATAATAGATAAAATATTTACAAATCAGAATTATGTGTAAGATTTTCCATTCCCCAAATTTTAATGCTATAAATGGAGTCTCAAAATTTTGAAAATTTAATTTTATCTGATTTTTCTTTGGAGTTATGGTTATTGATCGTAGGGTTTGATTGATCTATGTTTACATTGCTTTCTAGTTGATTATTTCATAGAGTATAATTTTGTGCGATGCTTGATTAATTTATATCTGGGTAGTAGGTAAACTTGTATTTATTTGTTGTTTGATCAAATAAATAGCTTATTCGTTTCTTGAACTCTATTAATTAAGCGCAATTTATTTGTGCAGGAAATGTGGTGGACTAGCTTATTTTGTTAAAACTGATTGATTCGACTATTTAAATGTCCTAAAATGCTGCATTGCTATTGAATATGGTTGATATTATTTGTGAAAAGCTCAATAATATGAACAAAATCATGGTTTCATTTGCTTGAGTTTTGCAGTAATTCAAAATAATGCTTAAAGGAGACTTGCACATGTATAGTGGGAAATGAGTGTATAGGGATGGTGAATGATCTGTTGGATAATCCAATGAATGTTTTAATGCTGTTCTAAAGATTTTAACTCTATGATATTTCAGTTTATGATCCAAATATTGTGCTATTAATTGAATATTAAAATAATGCTATCATCATTGTCGCTGAAACTCGCTCCAAGGATCACCAAATCGGTGTTTTTCGGGTTCAGTTTCACATTATCTTTCTCTACCGACCAACCTAAATTGCTCCAACCCACAATTAATATATTCACCTCGGTTGCTTCTTAATCTCACTCGTAAAGGACAATTTGATGATTTGCAAGCCACAAAGACACGGGAAAAATAATGGAAGAAGGCAAGAGAAGAGACCACAATACAAAGATGAAAACACCGATTTTTGGAAGCACAAAAGGCAACCGCTTTTCTTCTCTATGGCACACGTTTACACCTTTTCCCATACACAAATCACACACTAAAAAATGCTAGGTTAAGCACATATATGTAGGTTAGTATAGGCTTTATTTGGGCCAATAATAAGATTAAATGTGCCAAGATTCAAAGTCATCCAAGATGTAATTAAATGGGCTGGGTTGAGCCGTTGAACACTGTTGCTGATAATTATTTCACTTATCAATCGAGGGCTCTAAAATATATTCCAACCTTTAATATCATTGTCCAGAATTTATTGAGTATCAAAAAACCCAACAAATCTTCACTTTGATATCTAGTAAACCTTCAGGCAATTCAAACACGTAGTTAGTACTTACATAATCAAGGTAACCAATAAAATTAGGACAACAGACCTTACCTCCTATTCTGGACCTAAAACACATATCATACCTGCTCCATATGCTCACCAGAGCTAAGGTAAAAAACATCCAAATAGAAGCAAATACTCACAGTAATAAATTAAGAGCAAATAAATATGTGATGATGATATAATATAAGATAACATACAAATCTTTTCAAAGATGTTCACACAAAAAAACAGACTAAAACCAAGTTAATCATTATAAATGACCCTAACGAAGATCTCACCACATTTATTCTATCCATTCTGTATTGCTCCCATCTCGAGAACACAATCTCATCTCATTGCCCATTATGCTCACTAGACTGATCACTCAACTCATGTCTAACTGGTAAACTACAATAGATCCTAAGTCCACGGGATAATCCTCTATCTCCACATCACTCCTACAAACCTATGTGGATAATGGGTCTCCACCTAACAGAAATGATAGAAGTGTCTATCTCACACTCCACCTGATCAGGGTCTTTTCGCAGATAAAGGATTCCAACATTTAATCACCTCTCTACTCATTATTGAAATGTCATACTCTACATTCCCAGTATAAACCACTAATGTACCCTTAGACATTTATACTCCACTTAACAAAATAAATTCAGCACACTTCTAATGCATCCCAAACCACTATGCATGTAAATAATTACACTAATAAGACCGCTTCAATTCATGTAGTTGCACACAAAAACAAATTAAAAATGTATCATGTCAACATAGCAGAATTAAGCAATCACATATAAAAAAATGATTGCACATAGATTCAAATACAGTAACTAGGTTTACTCTCAATAAATATCGTTGGGGTCATCACTTGAAAGACACATTCATCCCATCTCTCATTTTACTCTTCTGCTTATCTTTCTTCTTGGAACAGTTCCTAGTGAAGTGTCCAGACTTACCACACCTATAATACCGTCTACCACTAGACTTCTCCTATCCCTTGCCCTTTACTTACCATCCTCATCACTTGAGTTACTACTCGAATCACTATTGTCTTGAGCTGTACCCAAATTCATATGGTTAAACTTCATTCTTCTTATCATCATGTGTAACTCACCACTCCTCTTATCTTCCTTTTCAGACTTAATCTCCATCTCCTTACTCTTAAGGAAATCTATGACAATCTTGGATATTAAGGTGTCCTTACCAAATTTAATTTCATTCTTAACCTCTCTATATGAATCAGGCATTGAATTAAACAAAATAAACATTTCAGACATTTTCGTCTTCAACAATTTTGTTAAAAACATCCAAATTGTTATCAAGATCCTTTGAATGGTCCATTTTCAAAATTGAAATTTTTTTCAAGCAAGTATGACTTATTAGAAGTAGACTTAAGCGAATACAAGTCCTATAACTTTTTCCAAAGTTCTTATTAGCATCACTTTTTCTCGTGTCATTATGATGCCATTTAGAAACAACACAAGAAGGAAAAAAACAGTATTTTGTGGATTCTTGTTTTTCAATTTTTCTCAAAATTGTGTTAGATATGAGTAAAATAAATGAAGAATAAGCAACTTCATCATATTATTCTTTTAGTACTTCTATCGGATTTGTAGAAAATTTGTATTTATGGCTTTCAAAACATTTTGCTGAACCAAAATCACCTTCATCTGTTGTTACCAAATTGAAAAATCCCCTTTACCATCGAAAATTCCAACTTCGAAAGATGACAACATTTTGAAAATATAGAACAACCAAAGTGCAAAAATAGATCGCACAAAGTAATTCTAATGCCGTAGTATGTACCGTTATAGATTCCTAAGGTTTCGTAAGATTCGTGATCTTAGATGAAGGAATTGTTCAAACAGGTCAACTCTAGATGTTCTAACAGAAAAATCAATGTAATACGAAGGTATGATAACAAAAAAAAAAAAAATCAATTTCTAATGCAATGCAGTTTCACATAGTGACTAAATGACAATTAGAGCACAAAATAAATTATCAACTTGCAATCAAATTTAGTACTTCGAACATAAGAAATAATTTTTAAATTTTTAGTACAAGCAATGGTTACCCCACACGGTAACACCAATCCTAATATCACCCCATGCGATGACACGCTAATGCTGAAATTTGATTTAGGATAAGCCAATATACTAGAGCAAACCAATCTGAGCCCATGAATTACGAAAGATGCGAATTTATCACCTAGGACCACCACTATTTGTTTTAAAGTCTCCAGTAATTGTAGGAATCAACCAGCCACGATTGAATCTTGAATGTACAAAGAACAAAATCATCAAGACTTTGTTGTACAACTTGAACACCAAAATGTTAGAAAAAAGTTAGAAACAAACAGCTTGAAGAAACCTCCTCAAAATTCCAATCAACATGCCCTCACGCGCCGTTGGACCCTCTGTACGTGGGCTTCACATGCCGCCACACGCACAATCACTGTCGATTACTTGCCTGACCGCTAAGATCACCTCTACCTACACGTCATGCTTATGATATTCATTTCACCAGGTCTCTGGATTGGCTGAAAATTGACAAAACAATGATTTTTCACAGTTTCCGGACAATTCTTCAATCTATTTTTCTTCTTCATTTCTACTACTTTTTTGATCGATTTTTGGTTAGTTTTTTTAGTCAAATCCACCTCCTTGAAGCTCTGATACCAATTGTCATGGAAGTTCACTCCAAAAATCGTCAAATTGGTATGTTTCACGCTCTGTTTCACGTTACCTTTCTTTACCAACCAAAAAATTCGAACTGCGCCAAATCAAAACCAATATATTCACCTTAGTTGTTTCTCAATCTCATCCCCACAAAGGACAATATAATAATGACTATTTGCAAGTCACAAAGGCACGGGAAAAATAATGGAAGAAGGCAAGAGAAGAGACCAAATACAAGATGAATCCATTGGTTTTTAGAAGCACAAAATATAGCTGTTTTTCTTCTCTATAGCACACATTTTACCCTTTTCCACATAAAAATCACACACTAAAAATTACTGGGGTAAGCAATAGATGTAACGTTAAGTTAGGATTTAGTTGGACCAGTAATAATGTTAAATGGGCCAAAATATAAAGCCATCTAAGAGGTAATATAAATGGGTCAAGTTGAGC